TCTTATTACAAAGATTTTTTATGTAAACTGCTTTTTCATTGGTTCCCATAGGATATAATTTGATTAAGGTAAATTCACTCACTCGACAGGTAATTTATCCCAGTGACTCTGTTCCACGTCAAGCTGCGTCACATGTGAAGACACTGGCCATCGGATTCTAATTTGAGTGTAATGAATCTCCATTCCCTTCCAGCAACAGGATGTTTACTCGACACATCTGAGACATCCATCATCCCATTCAAATGAATTGTGCTGTAACGTTATAGGCTGCTGGGAGACTTTTCTAGCTCAGTGATAAAATTCTTCTCCTGACAATGATGTATGTACACAGACGGCCATCTCATTACCTCGCTCTTGTGTACTGGCAATGTGAATTGAAGCTGAAAAAAACTTTAAAAAGAAAACTGCTGTTTTAAATTTTGTTTTAAAAAATGTTTCTTCATAGACATCACCAGAGCTGTTTTGTTCCAAGGGTAGAAGTAGAGATTTAGATGCCATACGACATGTGATCCGAGAAGCCAAGAGATTCATCTACATTTCTGTAACTGATTACCTGCCCTTAGTCAACCGCAGCTTCAGAGGATCACCAATCATACGGTAATACTGGTTTTCACAGGCACAGGGTCATTTGTATGTTTCAGCATTTAAAAATGGCTGTTAATAAAGGAAATAATCAATTTAGGGAGGATTGTTAAAACAAATAAAAAAGGGGGAAAAACATGAACAGATTTACACATTTCAAAATAAAATACATTGAAATTATTTGAAAAATCACTGAAACTTGAAAGAAATTGTAATTGAAATATACTTTATTGTTCCCAAAGGGGAAATTGTGTTGTGTTGGACTCAAGGTGTTTACATTGACAAGACCATTGGATCCATAAATAACAATATACACACAATATACACATAATTCCTATACTCACCCCCTCCTCCCTAAAAAGGCTCTGTAACACATTTGAACATTTTGTGTAGTGTTAAACTAAGATATTTCTCAAGTAAGCATGCTGTATTTTATGCTTTTATTTTTCTATTTTTACGTGTTATTTAATATTAACTTGATTTTTTTAATTAACTTTTCAAAATCATTTTGAATTTGCTTTTAAAAAAATAATTAAATCTCAAAATCTTCTATAAGTGTCATTATGTATACTGTATGTATAACGTGCTTTTGCCATCTTAAGAAAATTGGATGATTTATTTAATCAACTGATCATTCAATTTGAATATGCAATATAACATTTTAATCAAGTTTACCCATTTTTACAAGTTTACTCAATTGAGTCTTGCTCTTAAAACAAGACTGTTTATCTTGATGTTCACTGAATTATTTGTGAAAACTCTTGCCAAGAATAAAAAAACCTAATTGAGATATCACTCGATTAATATATATATGTTGTCAGGTTTATGCATCTAAATATCCAATTTGAAAGGTCATATTTTTGCTTCTCAAGTGAATTTGTCTTCAAATACATTTAAGTATTTTCACTGGAAAACAAGACAAATATATTAAAAAAGTAGATTTTTTGATGTGTAAAACTTTGGAGCTATTTATAAACGGACAAATTTGCTCTTTTGAAGATTTAGGACTTCTCTGTATGCTACTTCCTAACATCAACACTCATTTGGCTTGTTATATTTTTTGGTTCAGGTACTGGTCACCAATAGACGAGATGCTCCGAGAGGCTGCAGTACTGAGAGAGGTCAAAGTTCGTCTCTTAATCAGTCTGTGGACACGCACACATCCACTGACCTTTAACTTTATGACATCGATGCAGGCCTTATGCACAGGACTGCCATTCTGCTCTATAGAAGCGGTGCGGAAAGAATCTATTTGATTGATCTGTTTACACACACACACACACACACATTTATATATTTTACAATATAGGTTATATTTTATATATGCATTTCTGTTTTGAATCAGAGATTTTACAAAGGCAAGGCGCATATGGGAGGATTTCAGCACAGGATAAATGAGAATAAATTTATGGTGACAGACAACACGGCATACATCGGTAAGACTCTCTCTCTTGCACACACACACTTAATTTAGAGTGGTTCACTGCCCTGACAAAACCTGTATATTTGTATTGCCAAAGCAGTACAAAATAAGCTTATAAAAGTAGTGCAAATGTGTAAAAGGAAAAGTATTAACAAATCAAATGAACTCAATATTTTATTGCATTTTTTTAATTAAATGTAATATTAAAAGGGATAGCGGTAAACAAAAAATTAATATAAAATGAACCTAAATATGCACTAATTCTAAAAAATAAAAATACATAATGAGGCATTTGTCTTTCTTTGTCATCTGTATTATATTAATTCATGTACAATTTATCATATCGCACATTACTATTCAAATATTCTGTCATTTAAGGGAATCTGGACTGGGTTGGCAGTGAGTTGGCTTTCAATGCAGGAGCGGGGCTTGTGATTCAAGAATCGGAGAACCAACGGGAAGGGCAGGACTCGATTGTAGAGCAGCTGACTGCTGCTTTTGAAAGAGACTGGTTTTCACCCTACACTATAAGTCTGCTCTCTGGCAGCACGACCCTAAAGGAGAGCCAACATGGGAGGCAGAAACTGCAAGCTCTAAAGACAAAACCAGAGAGCAGAGAGCATGAGTGAGCAGCACAAATTTCTCTCTGAAGCGGGACCAATAAGCCAAGGACTTTGTGCCTCAGAACATCTGCGGCCATGACTCTTACCGTTGAATTTTCAAATGCTCTGAAGGACTTCTGTGAAGGAAAAGATTTTTGTGTATGCTTTCTTTTTAAAATTACAGTACAGCACTTTCAAAGAAATACTCTAAACCATTATATAATGCATGCTTGTTTGGATAAGAAACACTCAGTACCATTAACTGAGAACTGTGGAAATCACTTACTCCAATATTTAGACTTTTCTCATTTTAAACCAAATTATTCAGAGACTATGCTCATGGGAAAATTGCCAAAAGTTTATAATCATTGTGTGCATTACTTTTCTCAAGATGTTCATTAGTCATCCTTTTTTAAAATCAAGCACATTTTTACTGAAAGACATTTTGGAAAATCTGCATATACACCAACAAACTTGCTCATTACATATGCGGTCTCATACTGTAGCTATCATTACTTTCTGATTGACTAGCTATTATGGCACATCTGACACTGTGTATATATAAAATGTTTACATGATGCAGCATGCACAGCCTTGAAGTAGCTAATGTACAATCGTGCACACAAGAAGAGACTGTTTTTCTTACTGAACACTCACTTAAGCTTACACCCTTTAAATGTAGCTGAGTAGCTTTTATATGTAGCTTTATATCATCCTTTAACTGACTGTTTTAATGGAACAGTAATGTTTTTATTAAACAGTCATTGCTGATTGCTGATAATACAGGCCACATATGTTGCATTTCTCAGTAGTTTGTGGCCTGATGCTTTAGAATGTTTTGCATTATATACTGTATGCTGCCATAAACTGTAGCTGCTGTTGCTTTCTGGATGACTACCTCCTATGATACAATGCATCTATGATATACTGTATACATATAATCATATATAATAAAACTGATTGCTGCAGCATGGGTCATATATTGAACTGAATTATAGCCCCATGTACATAAGATACTGATTTTCTTACATGGAATGCACAGTTTATGATGTGATTAAATGTATCGCACCCTAACCAACTGTTATAATTAAATATTAAAGAGTTCATTAAAAATTGACTACCAGTCGTAAATAGGCAACATATGTCCCATTGATTTCTCACTGTTGTTCAGTAATTATTTGTGTCAGACTGTCAGCAAGCATCTCTCAAAACCCAATCAATTTAAAGCCTCTCTTAGGGGAACAATTTATTTAGCACGTGCAAAGCAATAACAAATTGCCTGAATTCCTTCATTCTTCTCATCCATCTCAGAGAACACATGAAAATCCATTGGACAAATGGTTACTCTTTCTAAACAGTCTATCTACAAAAATGCATATCACCTACACAAATCTGTATATATATATGGACATATATGGACTGCCTGTTGTGAACGGACGCCTCAAAAGTATACTGGTTATATATATATGCTGGTTAAGTAATATATACATATACATATACATATACATATACATATATATGTATATATTACTTAACCAGCATATATATAACCAGTATACTTTTGAGGCGTCCGTTCACAACAGGCAGTCCATATATGGTAAACCGGAAGCTAAGAGCGCGACAGATTCATTATTTAAATTAGTTTTAGTGATTTTAGTGAGGAGGGTGCCGATGCGAAATGTTCATGATTTGATATCAGTCAATTAGTTTACACAGACAAATGTCGACAAGAAGAAGAAGAAGAAGGCTTTTTATCGCTGAGGGGAGCTGAGAGTTTCAAAGCGCTCGAATACAAATGTTTTGCTTCTGCCTGTCAGATCGAAATGCCATGGTTTCTCCAAAGCTTCAGGCTTGTATGACTCAGTATGAGTGTGTAATTCAGTGGGTAAAGTCTGGCGCAAGCTCTGTAACGGTTAGCGTCGCGTACAGTGTCTTTTTAGTGCAATATATTGCTGGTTTAGTCGATAATATGCAGGCCACCAGTGGATTTATTGTTCTTAACTCTTCCGCAAGGTGGCGCCAAAGCCTTACATTACATGTTTAGGGAGATTGTCTCATATATATATATATATATAATTATTATTTTTTTATCTACGGTATGTTATGAGATATTCATATCACAGACTAACTAGTTTCCCCCCTTTCCAAATTACACGAATAGCTCTGCCAGTGCAGTTTAATGTTGGCCACCCCTCAGCAGAAGGATATGGCCATTATTCTAGTCATCCCTGACGATTTAAAGCACAGACCGGGGCAGATTACACTCAATAAGCCTGTTATGATATTTTAACTGGTGATTGAGGGGGTCGACGGCTGTTGTTATGGTAACAGATTAAGGTCAGAGATGTACTAAACCACAGTTGCCATGGAATTACTGCTGTCCAGATCTGGCGGATGCTGTGGGACGGAAAATACACAAATACCTACTAAAACTTTTTTTTTTGGTGAAATTTCCCTTTGATGAAGGAAACACGAAAGTGCCCTAAATGTTTCAAGTTTACATTTAGTTATTAAAATCCGGTGTTATTTGGGTTCTAATGGCTGGTGTTTTACTTTAAAGCTTCACGTGCACTAGTAAGTGAGGATGGATCTCCAGCAGTGAGCTCCCTGCACAAGCACTGCAGTGTCGGCGTGCTGTGTGAGCGGCGCCGGAGGATGCTGCAGTACTGATGGAACATTTAAAAGGCAACATTCTGCGTTTATTTTCAATCTAATAACAGATACCAGTTTGTTGACGAGGAACGAGCTACATGAATGTGAAATCTTGCATCGCATCGCATCGCCGTGAACTGCAGATTTGTTCCTTGTTCAGTGATGCAGCTAGATTTCCTCTGTTCAGCTGCTTATGGAGAAGGGTAAACCACCAGTGCTGGATTTATATGGTTTTTATATGTGTTTCTTCCACGCGTATTTCTTTCAATCTCTCTGATCGTGTAATATTAATATGGAGGGTGAGATTCCAGTCATATTAGAGCAGTTCATGAGCAGCCCTCTTGTCACTTGGGTAAGTTGCAATTTTTGTGCAGATTCTGCAGAACATAGCAAACCTTTGTATCAGATTGTATCAGTGTGTCAGAGTATCTGAGCTAGCATAACAATCATCTATGTGGAAGATCAAGCTGTGTGTTTGTCTTGACAACTGACAAAAAATGGATGTGATCAAATATTGTGTGTGTGTGTGTGTGTGTGTAGGTCAAAGACGAAAAGGGGTTGTCAAGCATAAAAAAAATAAACGTTTTTTTCTATTAATATTTTAATAAGTATAGGTCAGAATAAGTATGTTTCATAAATATGTCTGTTACGCTGAATGACGATGGAACATTATTTTACCCATATTTTGACATTTTATTTTCACTACATGTATTTGGAACATTAAAGTAGACTCTTTACTTTCATTTAATAAGCTTTCTATGAATATAAAATCACTTTTGTAAATTTAATTTGATGTGGGACGTCCCATATATATAACTATATAATGAAGGTAATATATAACTCAAGTGTTTGTTGGGCAAAACAAAGATGTATCTAAAAAGCTTATAAAAGTCTGTTCAGTGGAAGGTTCCATTCTGACAGCTTACTCCATTTACTGTAACAGCTTTCCCCATGATTGGGGCATGTTGTCACAAGAAAGTATAAACTATATAATGGCGAGCATATTTATGTAGCCGAGACTTTAAAGTATGTCTCTACCACTGATCTCCTTATTAGAGGTCATAAACCTGCCATAAGAAATATTCACTCAAATGAAGTGTGGCGACCAGCCCAGACTTCACTGATAATTCTATTTGTGCAGTTTCCTTAAATCACCCTACATTGAGTGGTTAAAAGTATGAATATTCCATGTAGTTTCTCAATATGATGTCTCCGTCTCACAAATGCCACAAAACAAAAAAAGGAAATTGTTGTTTAAAGAGCATGTCACACTGCTGTCACTTCATGACATGTGATTTTAATTTCTATGTTCCAAAGGTGAAGACGTTTGGTCAACTAGGTGACAAAGAGGGGAACATGCTCTCTGAATACACTGAATTAGTGGATGGCATTTTCTTGAACAAGGTCATGAATCAAATGTAAGTATCCATTTGCACAGTTATATTATCCAAATACTCAACTCAGAATAGTAAGCATTCTGCATTAGTTAGCATTCAATTAGCTGTTGAGCCTAAATTATTCATCCAAAGCAGTTTAACACTAGTTGAGTGCTTTGCTTAAGGGCATATTGTTGAAAGGGTTCTCAGTGACTTTTCAGTTCACAGGTTGTCTCTACATGTGATCAAATTTGTGTGCCCCCATTCCAGACCCCATACTGCGAAGTTACCACCACCCTATGGTGTCGTTTGCATGTAATATCGGGCACTGTTGTAGACAGCATGTGTTTCAGCTTTTAAATGACTCATTCCATGCAGGAGACTCAAAACACTGTAAGCTTTGTCATGGTCATGAAGGAACACTTTGTAGTCGGTCCGTCAGACTGTTCGGCTGGACAGAATTTGGATGGGTGCATATGGGTGGGTTGTGTTTGCCCCAAATTCTATTTCCATCTCAGACAAAAATCCATAGCTGTATTTAAATGTTAAAACCCAACCATGCCCTTAGGTAACATGCATTTCGTTGCCATTTAAAGGATAGTTAATGCCCAGAACATGTATTTTCAAAAGCAAAATAATCTGTAAAGATGCTGAGGTAGTAAACCGTACAGTATCAAGCTGGTCACAGTAATCCCACAGATTCAGGGAGGCTGATGGATTAGAGCTTGATTGTAGACTATTTTTTTGATGGTGGCATGTACAACATCCCAGACTGAAGTTTATCAAGGGAGAGCAGCGTTTCAGGTCACTGTCAGGACTCGGACCTTGAGCTGCTGAACTACAAGAGTTAAAGTCTCAAGACTTGACCTGAACTGAATTCTGCTGCTTTTGCCTCTGTATGTGTCTGCCTTGGTGCTGGCTAGTTGAGGAATGAAGTCATGTGGAAAAAAAAGGGAATGAATGAACGGATTGTGTTTTGTTGCTATTATTACTCGTGCCCCTTAGTCCAGGTTAATGTACTAAACAGGTCTTCAGAAACAAGACGTCTCAGTTGCTTCTTGCTGAGTTGATTTTATATTGCAGAAATAACTTCGTCTTTTTTTCACAGAAATCCCAAAGGGACTGTTCAAGGTTTAAACAAAGTGAACAATGACGTCGGCCAGAGAGCGCAAAACCTATCTGTTCTCATTTACCACATCAAATCATACTACCAGGTAAGGCACAGAGAAAATTAATAATTAAATAAATAATAATTAAGTAAATAAATATAAAAACATTTAAAAAGTTTATTAAAAAAATAAAATAAACTATCATAAATATAATAAAATAAGAATTAAAATATATATATTTTAAAAATGGCTGAATTCCTGTTTAAGAACTTCTCTACCCATAATTCCTGAAGAGAAATCAGATAAGTTAACATTATAATAGACAAAAGGTTAGGTTTGCAGTTGTTTGAATATTTTGGAATAAACATCAAACATAATGTCTACTTATAATCAGTGACTTGCAGCTAATAAAAGAGATACATACCCAGTATTTTTATTTTTTGTACATTGTTTCCCCATTTGTGATTCATCTCTGAGATAGTTAGATTGTTTCAAGGCTATATATTGAAGAATCTTTGGAAATTAATGAAAGATAGAAACACTACCAAAACCAAGACCACTTAAAAGTGGGCTGTATTGCTCTCTGTATTGCTCTCTGTACCCTCTATACATTAAAAAAGTTGTATAACCCAAGTCATTCTTTCAAATACGTTTTTGCTGCATGCACTTCAATGTCAAGTTCCCTTTTTACTATACTGGATTCTGCATATTCCCAAACGGAGGCCGTCTGGGTGGAAGGGCAGGATTTGAAGTCATGCCCTAAAGTTCCCGCTACCCACCCTGCATCCTGCACATCTGTCCTTGTGGAAATAGCCTCGCCACCAGACCTACAAGCTCCCCTCAAAGAGGCTGGCCTAGATATGAGTGCGCCAAGCCAACATCTGTGTAATCAGTAGCTAGGAAACAGCAATGGCCCGGAGCAAAGCTGGAAAATGACCCATTTTACATCCCATGAGACCTGTCTCTCATGGTGCCGGCTAAAGCGGTCAAAGTAATGAAAGTACCCTAAAAAAACAGACAAGCCAAATAATGGCCAAATCATTTTTTAACTAGTTTAATTGGTGGAAATTATGGCATTGTAAACCATATGTTGCCTTAAGTTGTCACATTTTCAAAATGCAAATCTAAATTCAAAGCAAAGGTGGGAAAATAAATGCAAATACTTTTAAAGGGGTCATATGATGTGATTTCAAGTTTTCCTTTCTCTTTGGAGTGTTACAAGCTGTTCATGAATAGATAAGATCCCTAAAGTTGCAAAGACTAAAGTCTCAAACCCAAAGAGATATTCTTTATAAAAGTTAAGACTGGTCCACGTCGTTTAAACACGCCCCCACATGTCTACGTCACAATGTGGGAAGATTTGCGTAATGCCGCCCAAATGTTGAAAACGCAAAGAAAGTAACTTTATTGTTGCTGCCACCACCGCCGCCATGCTGTGAAGACACTGTGTGTTTCGTTGCGAAAGTGAAAATACTTTGTTTGGTCTTCCAAAAGAGGACACGACTAGAAATCAGTGGTTAAGTTGTATTTACAACACTGTTCCAGAACACTTCAACCCAAATATTCAGATGTGTGCAGCACAT